AAATCCCAAAATTTTATCAATAAATTAAATTATAATAAGACACTATGGGGCTGTTACCCCAGCTAGGGCTGATCACATTAAATCATTTACACTGAAAAATTACAACTGCACTAAATAATGTTATGAGATTGTTTTAAATATACAAATAAGAAATGTTGGAAAGAATGATACTTTTAAACACGAGACTGAACCGCCAGTAGGGGGCGGCAGCGGCCGTCGTAATGAGCGAGTCATTGAGTCAAACGATTCGTTCAAACGACTGATTCGTTCAGGAATGAGGCAGATGTTGTGAATGGGTCATGAATCTGATCATTCAGTGATGAAACGGTTGAGATCTGCTGAGATCTTTGTTCGGAAACAGAACGAAAACGGTCAATATTGCATCAAAAATTTAAGTGACTTCATTTTAACTGTTTATTGTCAGTGTGCATTCACATGTACACATTATACAATCTTTTTTTTTTGGTAAAGTTTTGGCATCTTTAGTTTGATTTTTGAGCATTTTTAGATTTTTCTGTGTACTGAAGCATTCCTCACATTCCACTCATTCCTAAGGGGCTCAGATTGACCGGCGAGGGAAGGATTTGATACTTTTTTAAATTTCAACCACGAAACTCCTCGACTCAATAAAAAAAAAAAAAGTGTGTATTCGTGGTTCAAGTGCGACAAAAGTCCTGGAGTCTTGGACCTCTCTGATGGAGAAAAAAAATTCGGGTCAAAATGACCTGAGGAAAGGATAAGGCCACATCATCATCCTTTCATAAAGTAAAATTCTCTTTCCCTTGTACTTTCAAAAAATCCCCCTAACCCTCTAACCCAGGCGTTAATGTCGATCCCTGCACACACACACACTACTCCACATAAAGCACAGACTCCCCTGTGTTTACCTGGTGTGTGTTCGGGGACGGCGAGCTGTATGGGTCGACCCAAGAACAGATGCAGATCGTAGAGGAACGGCACTTCATCAGAACACACCAGACTGAGCGCTGTCCCGCCTCTGCCGGCGCGAGCCACGCGACCTGCAACACAGAGGCCAGGGGTTAGAGGTCAAGGTCAGGGGTTAAAGGTCGAGGTCAGGGGTTAAAGGTCGAGGTTAGAGGTGACAAGGTCAGGGGTTAGAGGTGACGAGGTCAGGGGTTAGAGGTGTCGAGGTCAGGGGTTAGAGGTCGTCGAGGTCAGAGGTGTCGAGGTCAGGGGTTAGAGGTCGTCGAGGTCAGAGGTGTCGAGGTCAGGGGTTAGAGGTCGTCGAGGTCAGAGGTGTCGAGGTCAGGGGTTAGAGGTGTCGAGGTCAGGGGTTAGATGTCGAGGTCAGGGGTTAGAGGTGTCGAGGTCAGGGGTTAGAAGTGTCGAGGTCAGGGGTTAGAGGTGTCGAGGTCAGGGGTTAGAGGTGACGAGGTCAGGGGTTAGAGGTCGTCGAGGTCAGAGGTGTCGATGTCAGGGGTTAGATGTCGTCGAGGTCAGAGGTGTCGAGGTCAGGGGTTAGAGGTGTCGATGTCAGGGGTTAGATGTCGAGGTCAGGGGTTAGAGGTGTCGAGGTCAGGGGTTAGAGGTGTCGAGGTCAGGGGTTAGAGGTGACGAGGTCAGGGGTTAGAGGTCGTCGAGGTCAGAGGTGTCGATGTCAGGGGTTAGATGTCGAGGTCAGGGGTTAGAGGTGTCGAGGTCAGGGGTTAGAGGTGTCGATGTCAGGGGTTAGATGTCGAGGTCAGGGGTTAGAGGTGTCGAGGTCAGGGGTTAGAGGTGTCGAGGTCAGGGGTAAGAGGTGTCGAGGTCAGGGGTTAGAGGTGACGAGGTCAGGGGTTAGAGGTCGTCGAGGTCAGAGGTGTCGAGGTCAGGGGTTAGATGTCGAGGTCAGGGGTTAGAGGTGTCGATGTCAGGGGTTAGATGTCGAGGTCAGGGGTTAGAGGTGTCGAGGTCAGGGGTTCGATGTCGAGGTCAGGGGTTAGAGGTGTCGAGGTCAGGGGTTAGATGTCGAGGTCAGGGGTTAGAGGTGTCGAGGTCAGGGGTTCGATGTCGAGGTCAGGGGTTAGAGGTGTCGATGTCAGGGGTTAGATGTCGAGGTCAGGGGTTAGAGGTGTCGAGGTCAGGGGTTAGATGTCGAGGTCAGGGGTTAGAGGTGTCGATGTCAGGGGTTAGAGGTGTCGAGGTCAGGGGTTAGAGGTGTCGATGTCAGGGGTTAGATGTCGAGGTCAGGGGTTAGAGGTGTCGAGGTCAGGGGTTAGAGGTGTCGAGGTCAGGGGTAAGAGGTGTCGAGGTCAGGGGTTAGAGGTGACGAGGTCAGGGGTTAGAGGTCGTCGAGGTCAGAGGTGTCGAGGTCAGGGGTTAGATGTCGAGGTCAGGGGTTAGAGGTGTCGATGTCAGGGGTTAGATGTCGAGGTCAGGGGTTAGAGGTGTCGAGGTCAGGGGTTCGATGTCGAGGTCAGGGGTTAGAGGTGTCGAGGTCAGGGGTTAGATGTCGAGGTCAGGGGTTAGAGGTGTCGAGGTCAGGGGTTCGATGTCGAGGTCAGGGGTTAGAGGTGTCGATGTCAGGGGTTAGATGTCGAGGTCAGGGGTTAGAGGTGTCGAGGTCAGGGGTTAGATGTCGAGGTCAGGGGTTAGAGGTGTCGATGTCAGGGGTTAGAGGTGTCGAGGTCAGGGGTTAGAGGTGTCGAGGTCAGGGGTTAGAGGTGACGAGGTCAGGGGTTAGAGGTCGTCGAGGTCAGAGGTGTCGAGGTCAGGGGTTAGAGGTCGTCGAGGTCAGAGGTGTCGAGGTCAGGGGTTAGAGGTGTCGAGGTCAGGGGTTAGAGGTGTCGAGGTCAGGGTTTAGAGGTCGTCGAGGTCAGAGGTGTCGATGTCAGGGGTTAGAGGTCGTCGAGGTCAGAGGTGTCGAGGTCAGGGGTTAGAGGTGTCGAGGTCAGGGGTTAGAGGTGTCGAGGTCAGGGGTTAGAGGTGTCGAGGTCAGGGGTTAGAGGTCGTCGAGGTCAGAGGTGTCGATGTCAGGGGTTAGAGGTGTCGATGTCAGGGGTTAGATGTCGAGGTCAGGGGTTAGAGGTGTCGAGGTCAGGGGTTAGAGGTCGTCGAGGTCAGAGGTGTCGAGGTCAGGGGTTAGAGGTCGTCGAGGTCAGAGGTGTCGAGGTCAGGGGTTAGAGGTGTCGAGGTCAGGGGTTAGAGGTGTCGAGGTCAGGGGTTAGAGGTGTCGAGGTCAGGGGTTAGAGGTCGTCGAGGTCAGAGGTGTCGATGTCAGGGGTTAGAGGTGTCGATGTCAGGGGTTAGATGTCGAGGTCAGGGGTTAGAGGTGTCGAGGTCAGGGGTTAGAGGTGTCGAGGTCAGGGGTTAGAGGTGTCGAGGTCAGGGGTTAGAGGTGACGAGGTCAGGGGTTAGAGGTCGTCGAGGTCAGGGGTTAGAGGTGTCGATGTCAGGGGTTAGATGTCGAGGTCAGGGGTTAGAGGTGTCGAGGTCAGGGGTTAGAGGTCGATGTCAGGGGTTAGATGTCGAGGTCAGGAGTTAGAGGTGTCGAGGTCAGGGGTTAGAGGTGGAGGTCAGGGGTTAGAGGTGTCGAGGGTTAGAGGTGTCGAGGTCAGGGGTTAGAGGTGTCGAGGTCAGGGGTTAGAAGTCGAGGTCAGGGGTTAGAAGTCAAGGTCAGGGGTTAGATGTCGAGGTCAGGGGTTAGAGGTCGAGGTCAGAAGTCGAGGTCAGGGGTTAGAGGTCGAGGTCAGGGGTTAGAGGTGTCGAGGTCAGGGGTTAGAGGTGTCGAGGTCAGGGGTTAGAGGTCGAGGTCAGGGGTTAGAAGTCAAGGTCAGGGGTTAGAGGTCGAGGTCAGGGGTTAGAGGTGTCGAGGTCAGGGGTTAGAGGTCGCGGTCAGGGGTTAGAGGTCGAGGTCAGGGGTTAGAGGTCGCGGTCAGGGGTTAGAGGTAAGTGTCTGCTCCGTCACACACCGACTCTGTGCAGGAAGAGCTTGGGCTTGGACGGGAAGTTGAAGTTGATGACGTTGTCGAGGAGAGGGATGTCGATGCCCCGGGCCGCCACATCAGTGACCAGCAGAACCATGGCTTTCCGGTGGACGAAGCGGCCGATGTTGATCTTACGGGCCGTCTGGTCCAGAGCGCTGTAGATGTAGGCGACCTCCACGCCCTGCTCCATCAGGAGCTGCAACACACACACATCAGAACCAAGAGAACAGAACCAGCACTTCCTGCTGCAAAATATGAGTAATAAAACTAAGTTTCTGCATTATTAACGTTATCAAAATGATTCCAGTTTGCATGGATACGCGGAAACAACTAAAAATCCTGTGTTATGCAGCCAGACGAGTCATTTGTTGAGGTCAATTTGTAGAGAAGTTAATACATTTAGGACTTTTCAAGAACGACTTTTTTGGGGTTTTCAAGGACTACAATCAGAGATCTCACTTATCAAAACAATATCTATTATCTTTTTAATTCTAAAAAAGGTAAACCGATCAATAAAAAACATACTAATAAAACAAAATGGCACAAATAAAGTGCAGCACATGCAGAGTATGCAGTGACTGTGGAAACTGTAACCATTGAAAGGATATTATGAAAAAGATATCGCTTATTCAACCTGTTTCAAGATTTTTTTTCCATGAATATATGATTGACCAGAAGAATGAAAGCTGTATCATATACTTGGATATTTAGGATATTATTTTGGATAGGACTTGAATTTCAGAAAGTCAAATTAATGCACTTTAAGCCCCTCGTACGAACCCTGTGTAAAGGTGTTGCCATCGTACTTTATCATCCACCTCAATCGAGCGCATATTTTAATGCATATTTTTAGAATTTACGTGCATCTTAGCGTTTCCATTCTGAGTTTTTTTTATGCAATTTACCAAAATTTGCATAAAAATAGGTGGATGGAAACACAGCTGATGATGAGCTAGTGGACGGCCTCGGAACAGGTTTTCTTGCTGTTTTCGATGTAAACAGAGCGTGAATGAGCGTGAGTTCCCCGCACCTCTTTCAGAAACTCCACGTGATGTTTGGTGGCGACGAACACCACCGTCTGCTCCTGCGGCTTCACCACGTTCCTCAGCAAATGCAGAAGCAGAGCCTGTTTATCGTCCATGCGCACGTGGAAGAACGAGAGCTGGGCAACACAGCAGGGAGAGGTATTACAATCGCTTCATATAAAGAAGCTAACACTTTTACTCAGCAAGGACACATTCAAACGGCAGTAAAGACATTTATAAAGTTACAAAAAGATTCTATTTCAAATAAACTTTCTATTCATCAGAATCCTGAAAAAGGCTTTTTTTCCCACAAAAATCTGAACTGTTTTCGACATTGATAATAATCATAAATGGTTCTTGATCATCATATTAGAGTGATTTCTGAAGGATCATGTGACACTGAAGACTGGAGTAATGATGCTGGAAATTCAGCTTTGATCACAGGAATAAATTACATTTTAAAATATATTAAAATAGAAAACAGCTGATTTACACTGGAATATTTCACTGTTTTTACTGATCAGATAAATGCAGCTTTGATGAGCAGAAGAGACTCTTTCAGAAACATTTTACCCCGAACCCTCGACTCTTTTACTCATTCAACACGTTAATGGTCTTATAGTGAAGGATTCATCAGTGCATGTTTGCGTACTCTTTCACGAAAGAACATTGAACGGAAAGTGGATGTTCACCTTCAGCTGGTCACTGAGTTTAGTGTCCACATCCAGACGAACGAGGACCGGCTCTGTGAGGCCTGTGCGGGAAACACAGATCAGCCAATCAGAAGAGTTCAACTCACGGTACTGATCTCACCATACTCTGAACAAAGCCAAACGTTTTAAACATTGTATTAAATATCTAATAATGCATTTTGATTTTAAGATATTAATAAACATGGAAGCTCAAATGTCTGAGCTTCTGTCTAGACTTATACTTATACATTTTTGTATTGTGATTAGGGCCGGGACTTTAACGCGTTAATTAAGATTAATTAATTACAGACTTTAACGCGTTAATTAATTACACAAATTATTTTAATCACACTTAGTTTTGCACCGCGGAACGTTTCTCACTGGATGGGTTTCGGCGGACCGATTATACTGGCGCACCAACTAGCGCTCATGACGAAGAAGCTGACGAGATCGCTTTGGTTGGCCGGTGGATGGGAAATTTTGTTATAAAAAGCGAATGGATGGAAGCGTCGATAAGAGCATGGTTGTGTGCAAGCTATGCAACAAGGAATTCGCTATTGCTATTATGGTGTGTTCACACCGAACGCAAATAGAGCGTCAAATACGAGTCTATCGCGTCTAGTTAGACGCTTGAACATTTGCTCAAGTCCAAATTTTTCAACTTGCGCGGAAGACATTCGCGGCAAACGCGTCGCCCAATTCGCGTCATTCGCAACGCCCGGCGCGATTGATGCGTCTATTCGCGTCTTTGCATTGACTTTGTATGTAATCTACTCGCGCAAATAATTAAATTCGCGTTCGGTGTGAACACACCATTAGTGTGTTCAATATGCTATTGCTACACTTAATGGCAAAAATTGCACTGGTCTGCTGGACTTGGTTGAACAAAAATAAACTATTTTGTTGCTTTAGCTTATGTATTCAGTCATTATTCAATAGTATACTAAAAATCCATGTGAAAAAAATTACTTCTCACTGTTCTCAGGTCAAATATTTATGCAATTAAAATGCGATTAATTTCGATTAATTAATTACAAAGCCTCTAATTAATTAGATTAATTTTTTTAATCGAGTCCCGGCCCTAATTGTGATATATCGTGACACAATGTAGTGTTGAGGCCCTGATAATGTAAGGTCATAATGTCCTGTATGTGCAGATGTGAGTGAGAGACTGATCACCGGCTCTGGCGAACTCCACGATCAGTTTGGGAAGCGTGGCGGAGAACAGCAGTGTCTGTCGAGCGTCTGGGAGACGTCTGATGATCTCTGAAAGCTGCTCCGCAAAACCCATCTCAAACAGCCTGGAGAAGCAGAAACATCTCTTTAGTGACGCGGGAAGGTCCAGCTGGACACCAGTGCTCCACCCATACGAGGACATGTTTGTTATTTAACGGCATCATCCATCCAATTCATCAAGCCTTGAGGCCCGTTCACACCAGGGACTATAACTGTAACGATATTGCTATTAAAGTTATTCTAAATAAAAAAGCATAACAGAGTGCACACCACAACTGTAACGACACAGAGGCACAGAGGAACGATGTCGCTAGAATCACTTTCAGAACGATTTTTTCAAGCTAATGAACGATAAAAACATTGACAGCCAATCAGAATCTATCCTGCTTTAAAGAACGCAAGCATTTAAAGAGACAGACGACAAACTGCAGCACTTATAATAAACAGAGCGATATCGTGCGTGTGAACTAGGGATGGCTCGATACCACAATTTTGGCTTCGGTACGATACCAGAACCTAATACCTCGGTATCGATACTAAATCGATACCACAGGTAAAAAAAAAACGGTCTCAAAATTTAAGTGACACTTAAAAAACACTGCTTGAAACTCTCCACTACCAAATGTGCAAAGAAGATGCATCAAAATGTAAAAAAAAAAATAATAATAATAATTCAGTCAGGGAACATACAGTAGGTTAAATTTTGATTTTGAAAAAAAAAAAACTTGAAATTATACATTTAAAATAGGTTAATATCTATAAGAATAGATTAACATATAATAATAATAATAATAGAATAATGAAATGACATGTAAACCATTAGCTGTCATACATCAACAGAGAATTATCAACATTTATTGCATTTATTCATCTTGGTTTGGTTACTGTTTGGGTTCATATTAATGCATTGCATAAAGTAATGTTAACATGCTAAACATGTATTAGTATATTTAATTTTCTAGGTCATTTAATTACTGATTGATATAGATTAATAAATGCTATAATACTGTTAGGTCAGGTTACCTAATGAATGTTGACAAATGTAGCTTAATTGTAATATTAGTAATATTCATATTAATACTATTCTCTCTCTCTCGCGCGCGCGCGCGTGCCACAGCGGCACTAATAAGCCATTCATTTTACTATCACTAATACTAAAATTAATATTATTCAAATTTTTATTCTTTATTCATTCAAATTCAATTAATATGTTTGTTTGAAAGTGCAAAAATGATGAGACCTAAACTTAATTGGTTCTAGCGTGTCATGCAAGCAGATTTGAGCCTTCGTGTTTACCGTATCATATATGATAAGCTCGTATGTGCGCTGTTCAGTAAAAGTCTAAATTAAATCAGTTGAATGATGGACTAACCTGTCGATCTCTGAACTCTTTGAACAAGTCAAGATGAGCAACTGACAATTCAAGTGCTATAGGCAGATTTGATGTGTTGCCTCCCCGTTTGCAGAGTGGTGCATTGAGATCTGTTTCTTTGCTTTTCTCATTACTTTTGTAGGCAAAGTAATGCCTTATTTCACCCATACTGCTCTCTCTATTTATTAATTTCGGGCGTGTGTAGAAATTCGAATGAGCGTCGTTTGATCCATCGTGTTCCTCTGTTGTCACCGTTTGCCGGTTTCGCGTGACCCGCGTCAGTTTAGGTAGCGCACTGCCGCCTAGCGGTGAACTTCGAAACAGCAGCGCATCAAATACCGAATTGAACAAAATTATGATATTGTACCGTTTGAAATATAATATATACCGGTATTTTTGCAGTACCGGTATACCGCGCATCCCTAGTGTGAACGCCGATATAGTCACTGTTCTCGGTGTGAACGCCGATATAGTCACTGTTCTCGGTGTGAACGCCGATATAGTCACTGTTCTCGGTGTGAACGCCGATATAGTCACTGTTCTCGGTGTGAACGCCGATATAGTCACTGTTCTCGGTGTGAACGCCGATATAGTCACTGTTCTCGGTGTGAACGCCGATATAGTCACTGTTCTCGGTGTGAACGCCGATATAGTCACTGTTCTCGGTGTGAACGCCGATATAGTCACTGTTCTCGGTGTGAACGCCGATATAGTCACTGTTCTCGGTGTGAACGCCGATATAGTCACTGTTCTCGGTGTGAACGCCGATATAGTCACTGTTCTCGGTGTGAACGCCGATATAGTCACTGTTCTCGGTGTGAACGCCGATATAGTCACTGTTCTCGGTGTGAACGCCGATATAGTCACTGTTCTCGGTGTGAACGCCGATATAGTCACTGTTCTCGGTGTGAACGCCGATATAGTCACTGTTCTCGGTGTGAACGCCGATATAGTCACTGTTCTCGGTGTGAACGCCGATATAGTCACTGTTCTCGGTGTGAACGCCGATATAGTCACTGTTCTCGGTGTGAACGCCGATATAGTCACTGTTCTCGGTGTGAACGCCGATATAGTCACTGTTCTCGGTGTGAACGCCGATATAGTCACTGTTCTCGGTGTGAACGCCGATATAGTCACTGTTCTCGGTGTGAACGCCGATATAGTCACTGTTCTCGGTGTGAACGCCGATATAGTCACTGTTCTCGGTGTGAACGCCGATATAGTCACTGTTCTCGGTGTGAACGCCGATATAGTCACTGTTCTCGGTGTGAACGCCGATATAGTCACTGTTCTCGGTGTGAACGCCGATATAGTCACTGTTCTCGGTGTGAACGCTGATATAGTCACTGTTCTCGGTGTGAACGCCGATATAGTCACTGTTCTCGGTGTGAACGCTGATATAGTCACTGTTCTCGGTGTGAACGCCGATATAGTCACTGTTCTCGGTGTGAACGCCGATATAGTCACTGTTCTCGGTGTGAACGCCGATATAGTCACTGTTCTCGGTGTGAACGCTGATATAGTCACTGGAACGCTGATATAGTCACTGTTCTCGGTGTGAACGCTGATATAGTCACTGGAACGCTGATATAGTCACTGTTCTCGGTGTGAACGCTGATATAGTCACTGGAACGCTGATATAGTCACTGTTCTCGGTGTGATCGCTGATATAGTCACTGTTCTCAGTGTGAACGCTGATATAGTCACTGGAACGCCGATATAGTCACTGTTCTCGGTGTGAACGCTGATATAGTCACTGTTCTCTGTGTGAACGCTGATATAGTCACTGGAACGCTGATATAGTCACTGTTCTCGGTGTGAACGCTGATATAGTCACTGGAACGCTGATACAGTCACTGTTCTCCGTGTGAACGCTGATATAGTCACTGTTCTCTGTGTGAACGCTGATATAGTCACTGTTCTCTGTGTGAACGCTGATATAGTCACTGTTCTCTGTGTGAACGCTGATATAGTCACTGTTCTCGGTGTGAACGCTGATATAGTCACTGTTCTCTGTGTGAACGCCGATATAGTCACTGTTCTCGGTGTGAACGCTGATATAGTCACTGTTCTCGATGTGAACGCTGATATAGTCACTGTTCTCGGTGTGAACGCTGATATAGTCACTGGAACGCTGATATAGTCACTGTTCTCGGTGTGAACGCTGATATAGTCACTGGAACGCTGATATAGTCACTGTTCTCGGTGTGAACGCTGATATAGTCACTGTTCTCAGTGTGAACGCTGATATAGTCACTGGAACGCTGATATAGTCACTGGAACGCTGATATAGTCACTGTTCTCGGTGTGAACGCTGATATAGTCACTGTTCTCGGTGTGAACGCTGATATAGTCACTGGAACGCTGATATAGTCACTGTTCTCGGTGTGAACGCTGATATAGTCACTGGAACGCTGATATAGTCACTGTTCTCGGTGTGATCGCTGATATAGTCACTGTTCTCAGTGTGAACGCTGATATAGTCACTGGAACGCCGATATAGTCACTGTTCTCAGTGTGAACGCTGATATAGTCACTGTTCTCAGTGTGAACGCTGATATAGTCACTGTTCTCAGTGTGAACGCTGATATAGTCACTGTTCTCAGTGTGAACGCTGATATAGTCACTGTTCTCAGTGTGAACGCTGATATAGTCACTGTTCTCAGTGTGAACGCCGATATAGTCACTGTTCTCGGTGTGAACGCTGATATAGTCACTGTTCTCGATGTGAACGCTGATATAGTCACTGTTCTCGGTGTGAACGCCGATATAGTCACTGTTCTCGGTGTGAACGCTGATATAGTCACTGTTCTCGATGTGAACGCTGATATAGTCACTGTTCTCGGTGTGAACGCTGATATAGTCACTGGAACGCTGATATAGTCACTGTTCTCGGTGTGAACGCTGATATAGTCACTGTTCTCAGTGTGAACGCTGATATAGTCACTGTTCTCAGTGTGAACGCTGATATAGTCACTGTTCTCAGTGTGAACGCCGATATAGTCACTGTTCTCGGTGTGAACGCTGATATAGTCACTGTTCTCGATGTGAACGCTGATATAGTCACTGTTCTCGGTGTGAACGCTGATATAGTCACTGGAACGCTGATATAGTCACTGTTCTCGGTGTGAACGCTGATATAGTCACTGTTCTCGATGTGAACGCTGATATAGTCACTGTTCTCGGTGTGAACGCTGATATAGTCACTGGAACGCTGATATAGTCACTGTTCTCAGTGTGAACGCTGATATAGTCACTGTTCTCAGTGTGAACGCCGATATAGTCACTGTTCTCGGTGTGAACGCTGATATAGTCACTGTTCTCGATGTGAACGCTGATATAGTCACTGTTCTCTGTGTGAACGCCGATATAGTCACTGTTCTCGGTGTGAACGCTGATATAGTCACTGTTCTCGATGTGAACGCTGATATAGTCACTGTTCTCGGTGTGAACGCTGATATAGTCACTGGAACGCTGATATAGTCACTGTTCTCGGTGTGAACGCTGATATAGTCACTGGAACGCTGATATAGTCACTGTTCTCGGTGTGAACGCTGATATAGTCACTGTTCTCAGTGTGAACGCTGATATAGTCACTGGAACGCTGATATAGTCACTGGAACGCTGATATAGTCACTGTTCTCGGTGTGAACGCTGATATAGTCACTGTTCTCGGTGTGAACGCTGATATAGTCACTGGAACGCTGATATAGTCACTGTTCTCGGTGTGAACGCTGATATAGTCACTGGAACGCTGATATAGTCACTGTTCTCGGTGTGATCGCTGATATAGTCACTGTTCTCAGTGTGAACGCTGATATAGTCACTGGAACGCCGATATAGTCACTGTTCTCAGTGTGAACGCTGATATAGTCACTGTTCTCAGTGTGAACGCTGATATAGTCACTGTTCTCAGTGTGAACGCTGATATAGTCACTGTTCTCAGTGTGAACGCTGATATAGTCACTGTTCTCAGTGTGAACGCTGATATAGTCACTGTTCTCAGTGTGAACGCTGATATAGTCACTGTTCTCAGTGTGAACGCTGATATAGTCACTGGAACGCTGATATAGTCACTGTTCTCGGTGTGAACGCTGATATAGTCACTGTTCTCAGTGTGAACGCTGATATAGTCACTGGAACGCTGATATAGTCACTGTTCTCGGTGTGAACGCTGATATAGTCACTGGAACGCTGATATAGTCACTGTTCTCGGTGTGAACGCTGATATAGTCACTGGAACGCTGATATAGTCACTGTTCTCGGTGTGAACGCTGATATAGTCACTGTTCTCGGTGTGAACGCTGATATAGTCACTGGAACGCTGATATAGTCACTGGAACGCTGATATAGTCACTGTTCTCGGTGTGAACGCTGATATAGTCACTGTTCTCGGTGTGAACGCTGATATAGTCACTGGAACGCTGATATAGTCACTGTTCTCGGTGTGAACGCTGATATAGTCACTGGAACGCTGATATAGTCACTGTTCTCGGTGTGAACGCTGATATAGTCACTGGAACGCTGATATAGTCACTGTTCTCGGTGTGATCGCTGATATAGTCACTGTTCTCAGTGTGAACGCTGATATAGTCACTGGAACGCCGATATAGTCACTGTTCTCAGTGTGAACGCTGATATAGTCACTGTTCTCAGTGTGAACGCTGATATAGTCACTGTTCTCAGTGTGAACGCTGATATAGTCACTGTTCTCAGTGTGAACGCTGATATAGTCACTGTTCTCGGTGTGAACGCTGATATAGTCACTGTTCTCGGTGTGAACGCTGATATAGTCACTGGAACGCTGATATAGTCACTGTTCTCGGTGTGAACGCTGATATAGTCACTGTTCTCAGTGTGAACGCTGATATAGTCACTGGAACGCTGATATAGTCACTGTTCTCGGTGTGAACGCTGATATAGTCACTGGAACGCTGATATAGTCACTGTTCTCGGTGTGAACGCTGATATAGTCACTGGAACGCTGATATAGTCACTGTTCTCGGTGTGAACGCTGATATAGTCACTGGAACGCTGATATAGTCACTGTTCTCGGTGTGAACGCTGATATAGTCACTGGAACGCTGATATAGTCACTGTTCTCGGTGTGATCGCTGATATAGTCACTGTTCTCAGTGTGAACGCTGATATAGTCACTGGAACGCCGATATAGTCACTGTTCTCAGTGTGAACGCTGATATAGTCACTGTTCTCAGTGTGAACGCTGATATAGTCACTGGAACGCTGATATAGTCACTGTTCTCGGTGTGAACGCTGATATAGTCACTGTTCTCAGTGTGAACGCTGATATAGTCACTGGAACGCTGATATAGTCACTGTTCTCGGTGTGAACGCTGATATAGTCACTGGAACGCTGATATACTCACTGTTCTCGGTGTGAACGCTGATATAGTCACTGGAACGCTGATATAGTCACTGGAACGCTGATATAGTCACTGTTCTCGGTGTGAACGCTGATATAGTCACTGTTCTCGGTGTGAACGCTGATATAGTCACTGGAACGCTGATATAGTCACTGTTCTCGGTGTGAACGCTGATATAGTCACTGGAACGCTGATATAGTCACTGTTCTCGGTGTGAACGCTGATATAGTCACTGGAACGCCGATATAGTCACTGTTCTCGGTGTGAACGCTGATATAGTCACTGTTCTCTGTGTGAACGCTGATATAGTCACTGTTCTCTGTGTGAACGCCGATATAGTCACTGTTCTCGGTGTAAACGCTGATATAGTCACTGTTCTCTGTGTGAACGCTGATATAGTCACTGTTCTCGGTGTGAACGCTGATATAGTCACTGTTCTCTGTGTGAACGCTGATATAGTCATTGTTCTCGAATGTGAGCGTTGATGTAATTGCTGTTCTCGGTGTGAACGAGTCTTTACTCTGGTATGGAGAGGTCTCTCACCTGTCGGCTTCATCAAACACCACATACTCCACACCCTGGAGCTTCAGGTTCATCTCCTGGATCACGTGCATCAGACGACCGGGAGTCCCAATGATGCTGCAGAACATGAGGAGAACATCAGGAGAACATCAGAAAAACATGAGGAGAAGATGAGAACAACAGGAGAACAACAGCAGAACATGAGGAGAACATGAGAACAACAGGAGAACATCAGGAGAACATCAGGAGACAGCAGAAGATCAGGAGAACAAAAGGAGAAACACAGGAAAACAAAAGGAGAACATGAGGAGAAGAGGAGAACAACAGGAGAACATGAGAAGAGGAGAACAACAGGAGAACAAAAGGAGAACATTAGGAGAACAACAGGAGAACATGAGGAGAACAACAGGAGAAGAGGAGAACATGAGAAGAGGAGAACAACAGGAGAACAAAAGGAGAACATGAGGAGAACAACGGGAGAACATGAGGAGAACATGAGGAGAACATGAGGAGAACAACGGGAGAACATGAGGAGAACAACGGGAGAACATGAGGAGAACATGAGGAGAACAACGGGAGAACATGAGGAGAACAACGGGAGAACATGAGGAGAACAACGGGAGAACATGAGGAGAAGAGGATAACATGAGGAAAAGAGGATAACATGAGGAGAAGAGGAGAACAACAGGAGCACATGAGAACAAAAGGAGAACAAAAAGAGAACATCAGGAGAACAACAGGAGAACATGAGGAGAAGAGGAGAACAACAGGAGAACATGAGGAGAACAGCAGGAGAACATTATGAGAACAACAGGAGAACATCAGGAGAACATGAGGAGAAGAGAACAACAGGAGACCATGAGAACAACAGGAGAACAAAAGGAGGACATGAGGAGAACAAAAGGAGAACAGGAGAACATGAGAAAAACATGAGAGGAAGAGGATAACATGAGGAGAAGAGGAAAACAGGAGAAGGAGAACAACAGGAGAACAACGAGAACATGAGGAGAACATGAGGAGAACAACAGGAGAACAACAAGAGAACATGAGGAGAACATCAGGAGAACATGAGGAGAACATCAGGAGAACATGAGTAGAACATCAGGAGAACATGAGTAGAACATCAGGAGAACATGAGGAGAACATGAGGAGAACAACAGGAGAACAACAAGAGAACATGATGAGAACATCAGGAGAACATGAGGAGAACAACAGGAGAACAACAGGAGAACAACAAGAGAACATGAGGAGAACATCAGGAGAACATCAGGAGAACATGAGGAGAACAACAGGAGAACAACAAGAGAACATGAGGAGAACATGAGTAGAACATCAGGAGAACATGAGTAGAACATCAGGAGAACATGAGTAGAACATCAGGAGAACATGAGTAGAACATCAGGAGAACATGAGTAGAACATCAGGAGAACATGAGTAGAACATCAGGAGAACATGAGTAGAACATCAGGAGAACATGAGTAGAACAACAGGAGAACAACGCGAACATGAGGAGAACATGAGGAGAACAACAGGAGAACAACAAGAGAACATGAGGAGAACAACAGGAGAACATGAGTAGAACATCAGGAGAACATGAGTAGAACATCAGGAGAACATGAGTAGAACATCAGGAGAACATCAGGAGAACATGAGTAGAACAACAGGAGAACAACGAGAACATGAGAACAACAGGAGAACAACAAGAGAACATGAGGAGAACATCAGGAGAACATGAGTAGAACATCAGGAGAACATGAGGAGAACATCAGGAGAACATGAGTAGAACATCAGGAGAACATGAGGAGAACATCAGGAGAACATGAGTAGAACATCAGGAGAACATGAGTAGAACAACAGGAGAACAACGAGAACATGAGGAGAACAACAGGAGAACAACAAGAGAACATGAGGAGAACATCAGGAGAACATGAGGAGAACATGAGTAGAACAACAGGAGAACAACAAGAGAACATGAGGAGAACATGAGTAGAACATGAGTAGAACATCAGGAGAACATGAGTAGAACCACAGGAGAACATGAGTAGAACATGAGGAGAACAACAGGAGAACAACAAGAGAACATGAGGAGAACATCAGGAGAACATGAGTAGAACATCAGGAGAACATGAGTAGAACCACAGGAGAACATGAGTAGAACATGAGGAGAACAACAGGAGAACAACAAGAGAACATGAGGAGAACATCAGGAGAACAACAAGAGAACATGAGGAGAACATCAGGAGAACATGAGTAGAACATCAGGAGAACATGAGGAGAACATCAGGAGAACATGAGTAGAACATCAGGAGAACATGAGTAGAACATCAGGAGAACATGAGTAGAACAACAGGAGAACAACGAGAACATGAGGAGAACAACAGGAGAACAACAAGAGAACATGAGGAGAACATCAGGAGAACATGAGGAGAACATCAGGAGAACATGAGTAGAACATCAGGAGAACATGAGTAGAACATCAGGAGAACAACAGGAGAAACAACAAGAGAACATGAGGAGAACATCAGGAGAACATGAGTAGAACATGAGGAGAACATGAGTAGAACATGAGGAGAACAACAGGAGAACAACAAGAGAACATGAGGAGAACATCAGGAGAACATGAGGAGAACATCAGGAGAACATGAGTAGAACCACAGGAGAACATGAGTAGAACATGAGGAGAACAACAGGAGAACAACAAGAGAACATGAGGAGAACATCAGGAGAACAACAAGAGAACATGAGGAGAACATCAGGAGAACATGAGTAGAACATCAGGAGAACATGAGGAGAACATCAGGAGAACATGAGTAGAACAACAGGAGAACAACGAGAACATGAGGAGAACAACAGGAGAACAACAAGAGAACATGAGGAGAACATCAGGAGAACATGAGTAGAACATCAGGAGAACATGAGTAGAACATCAGGAGAACATGAGTAGAACAACAGGAGAACAACGAGAACATGAGGAGAACAACAGGAGAACAACAAGAGAACATGAGGAGAACATCAGGAGAACATGAGTAGAACATCAGGAGAACATGAGTAGAACATCAGGAGAACATGAGTAGAACATCAGGAGAACAACAGGAGAAACAACAAGAGAACATGAGGAGAACATCAGGAGAACATGAGTAGAACATGAGGAGAACATGAGTAGAACATGAGGAGAACAACAGGAGAACAACAAGAGAACATGAGGAGAACATCAGGAGAACATGAGGAGAACATCAGGAGAACAACAAGAGAACATGAGGAGAACATCAGGAGAACATGAGTAGAACATGAGGAGAACATGAGTAGAACATGAGGAGAACAACAGGAGAACAACAAGAGAACATGAGGAGAACATCAGGAGAACATGAGGAGAACATCAGGAGAACATGAGGAGAACATCAGGAGAACATCCGGAGAACAGGAGAACAAAAGGAGAACATGTTCACATCACACAATCATCAAACACACACACACTCGGGGACACACACACTTTCTTCGAGGGTGAACTTACATGTCTGGATTCTCATGAAGAGCAGCAAACTGGTCATCCATCCTGACAAACAGAAAGAAAACACACAGAAAGTCACGACTGATGCTAAAACAAGACTGGAGTTCATCCGAGACTCTCACACACACACACACACACACACCTGTCTCCACCGAGAATCAGCGCCGTCTTCAATCCAGTAAACTTCCCCAGCTGAAATACAGAAACACTGAGTGAGAGTGTGTGTGTGTGTGTGAGTGAGTGAGTGAGTGAGTGAGTGAGTGAGTGAGTGAGTGAGTGAGTGAGTGAGTGAGTGAGTGAGAGAGAGTGTGTTTGTGTGTGTGTGTGTTAGGGCTGGGCGATATGGCCAAAAAAATGTATCACGATAAATTTTTTTATATCAGTCGATATCGATAATTATCACGATAAATGTCAAATCTTTATTTCTTTCAAGTTTAAAGGCTCCTAAGTAAAAGTTGTATAAACCAGAGCATTGTGGTTTTACAAATCTGAGGTAGAACATTCAAACATTTGTCATTTTTCCTTAAAGGAGTCATAATGTGCAATTTTCACTTTTCCATGAGAATCAATGTATGTTATGATTGCCTAACGATTATACATTGGCAGGGAAGCCGATATTCAAAAGTGAAGCGTTTGTTTACCCCAGGGTTCTTAAACTAGCCAACGTGCACGCGCACTCAAATACGAGATTTCAATTTCTCCCCCGGCTTGACGTCAAGACGGGGCCGGATATACCATATATGGAGAGAGGGTGGTGATGGCGCTGTGGATAAGACACATGCCTTTGGTGTGAGAGACCCGGGTTCGAATCCACTGTGAGACACCAATGTGTCCCTGAGCAAGACACTTAACCCCTAGTTGCTCCAGAGGCGTGCGACCGCTGACATATATAGCAATTGTAAGTCGCTTTGGATAAAAGCGTCAGCTAAATGAATAAATGTAAAAATGTAAATATATGGACACCGCAGAGGAGGCCCGCCCTGCCCCTCTCCCCCTCATATTCAGTCAAGAAAGATGCAGAAACGTAGTGCACACGTGAGTTGCTCTGTGGTCGACTGTCATAATCCACATTCTAATGTTTTTTCTTTACCCAAAACTGACCAAACTACAAGGGACAAGTGGATGAAATTTATTTTTAATGACGCTGTTCCAACAACCATCTCAACTTGCTCAACGTTATGTGTCTGCGCTAAACATTTCACAAAAGAATCTTTTACAAATTTGGGGCAATATCAGGCGAAGTTGGCATCGAAGCTATGTTTGGAAAAAGGTGCCATTCCAACAATCAGGGACTTGCCTGAATTTGAAACGGTAAGACTGTGTTTTTATTACTATATTTTGTGTAACAAACAGCAGCTAACTACTAATGCGGTTAATGTATGTGATAAGGATACATTTAAAAAACAGTCAAGAATTAATAAACATAAAGAAAAACATAACGTTACACGTCTGCAGATGAAAATGATTACAAACACATTATAGCAAACGTTAATCTCTATAACCACTGTAAGCTGAAAATAAAGTAGACTACATCTCCGTTAATGTAATCTACACTAAATTAAAAGTAAACTTATGTGGGAGAAAATAGCAAAAAAAAACGTTTTAGCTCGTTACTGATGTTAATGTATGTCTCAGTCAAAAAAATTGTCTTTACCTTTCAGAGACATGTTGATGTAGACGTCCTTCAATTGACTGTTGTTCCTCTTCCGTTTCCAGCTCTGGTTCAGAGTCTGGCTCAAACATATACGGTTGAATCCCGTAGGTCGCGACCAGGTCGGGTTCATTCACAACTTGCGCCATGATCTCTTTTTGGAATGATATGCTGAAGTTACCTGCGGTGTCAAGCCCCCTCCTTCCTGCCACCAATCAACGCGCCCCTCATTTGCATTATTAAAATGACCGTCCACGACAGCCAAAACCTCGCATCAGATCTCGCGAGACAATAATGCATTCAGAAATAAGGGTCAAACGAGCTCTGTGTTTATTTTTTTCCAATTTTTCTTTTTTAGAAGGGCATGAAATGACTATAATAGAGCGTGGGTATCAAAGTTAATACTACATTATGACTCCTTTAACAAAATAAATATCTGAAAAGAAAAATATTTCTTCAGCACAGTTTGCAGTGCAGGCTGCAATATTCAAATTACATGTTTTGTCTCGAAATGCATATTTGACAGTGAGTTGACAGTAAATCTGCATCCTGACTCAAGCTAATACTACTCTGTTAAATTTATGTTCATTAACAAAAACCGTAACATCTGTTTGTTTTTTTGTTTGTTTTTAATTTAAGGACCACATTTTTATTTGGTAAAATGTAATATTCTGACTGTTTGAGTTTTATTAAAATTAACCATTGGTCATCCAGCATCATGCATTTAGATCATGATAACCACAGATAAAGCCAGGTACAGCCTATAGCACCTCACTATCATGGCAAAATGTAACTTTATGGTTTCTATGGTATTTGTATGAAAAACAGTAGCTTAACAGTTAAATACATTATACTGTAATTATATTCCATTAGTCATTTAATACATTGTTAATAATATTATACAATTCAATATGTATATCCCACATTTCATGGTGCAGGTACTAGGCTAACGTTACAGTAAATCCATGGTAGGCTAAATGGATTCAGTATCAATTCAGATTGACTGTATCGCTGCGCAGTGTTTCTCCTGTTTGTCAGCGGTGTTTCATCTGCCTTTAAACTGATTTAAAGTGGACATGTGTGTTCTTCGCTGAACTTAAGCGCTTCTCACTGGATCTCGTGAGCGAGACGATCAGAGTAAACGCGTCTGCTCTAGCGAGCTCGCGCTGCCGTTTGGACTTTGAGCCGAGCGGATAAACGGTCCGTGTGGCGCGCGGTTCAAATGAGTTTCGTTCCGCTTTTGGCGCATAAACATTATCGAACATTTATCGACCTCTTGATATCGTTTTATCGAGAAAAATTATATCGCGATAATTATCGTTATCGTTTTATCGCCCAGCCCTAGTGTGTGTGTGTGTGTGTGTGAGTGTGTGTGAGAGACTGTGTTTGTGTGTGTGTGTGAGTGAGAGAGTGAGAGTTTGTGAGTGAGTGAGTGAGTGAGTGAGTGAGTGAGTGTGTGTGAAAGAGAGTGTGTGTGTGTGTGTGTGTGTGTGCGTGTGAGTGTGAGAGAGAGTGTGTTTGTGTTTGTGTGTGTGTGTGTGAGAGAGTGTGAGTGAGTGAGTGAGTGAGTGAGTGTGTGTGTGTGTGTGTGTGAGAGAGTGTGAGTGAGTGAGTGAGTGAGTGTGTGTGTGTGTGTGTGTGTGTGTGTGTGAGAGAGAGTGAGTGAGTCTGTGTGAGAGAGAGAGTGTGTGTGTGTGTGTGTGAGAGAGAGAGTGCGAGTGTGTGAGTGAGTGTGTGTTTGTGTGTGTGTGAGAGAGAGTGTGTTTGCGTGTCTGTGTGTGTGTGTGTGTGTGTGTGAGAGAGTGTGAGTGAGTGAGTGTGTGTGTGAGAGAGAGTGTGTGTGAGTGTGTGTGTGTGAGAGAGAGTGTGTGTGAGTGTGTGTGTGTGTGTGTGTGTGTGTGTGTGAGAGAGAGTGTTTTTGTGTGTGTGTGAGTGAGTGTGTGAGTGAGTGAGTGAGTGAGTGAGTGTGTGTGTGTGAGAGTGTGTGTGTGTGAGAGTGTGTGTGTGTGTGTGTGAGTGCACCTCTTTGGTGAACTTCATGGTCTGCAGGGCTAGTTCTCTGGTTGGCGTGAGCACTAGCGCTCTGACTCCGGTCTGCGCCTGCGCGACCTTCAGCTTCTCGAACATCGGGATGAGGAACGCTGCCGTTTTCCCGCTTCCCGTCCTCGCCATGGCAACCACATCCTTCCCATCCAGGATCATGGGAATAGTCTGAGGAAGAGGAACAGACACACGAGGCTTATAGCGATCGTTCACCCAGTGAAATTAGCCCATGATTTACTCAGTGTGTAACATTACCTTCCTCTGGATGGGAGTGGGGACCTTATAGCCCTTCTTCATGATGCCTTTATACACCGGATAGCTGAGACCTGCACAGACACACACATTTACTCCAGTGATAGACTGATAGATTGAGTGAGTGATAGAGTGAGTGTGTGTGTGAGAGTGAGTGAGTGAGTGATAGAGTGAGTGAGTGAGTGATAGAGTGAGTGAGTGAGTGATAGAGTGAGTGAGTGAGTGAGTGAGTGAGTGAGTGAGTGAGTGAGTGATAGAGTGAGTGAGTGAGTGAGTGAGTGAGTGAGTGAGTGAGTGAGTGAGTGAGTGATAGAGTGAGTGAGTGAGTGAGTGAGTGTGTGAGTGAGTGAGTGAGTGATAGAGTGAGTGAGTGAGTGAGTGAGTGAGTGAGTGAGTGAGTGAGTGAGTGAGTGATAGAGTGAGTGAGTGAGTGATAGAGTGAGTGAGTGAGTGAGTGAGTGAGTGAGTGATAGAGTGAGTGAGTGAGTGAGTGAGTGAGTGATAGAGTGAGTGAGTGAGTGATAGAGTGAGTGAGTGAGTGAGTGAGTGAGTGAGTGAGTGATAGAGTGAGTGAGTGAGTGAGTGAGTGAGTGATAGAGTGAGTGAGTGAGTGAGTGAGTGAGTGAGTGAGTGAGTGAGTGAGTGAGTGATAGAGTGAGTGAGTGAGTGAGTGAGTGAGTGAGTGAGTGAGTGAGTGAGTGATAGAGTGAGTGAGTGAGTGAGTGAGTGAGTGAGTGAGTGAGTGAGTGAGTGAGTGAGTGATAGAGTGAGTGAGTGATAGAGTGAGTGTGTGTGTGAGTGAGTGAGTGATAGAGTGTGTGTGTGATAGAGTGAGTGAGTGAGTGAGTGTGTGAGTGTGTGATAGAGTGAGTGAGTGAGTGAGTGAGTGATAGAGTGAGTGATAGAGTGAGTGAGTGAGTGAGTGATAGAGTGAGTGAGTGATAGAGTGAGTGAGTGAGTGAGTGATAGAGTGAGTGAGTGATAGAGTGAGTGTGTGTGTGAGTGAGTGAGTGATAGAGTGTGTGTGTGATAGAGTGAGTGAGTGAGTGAGTGTGTGAGTGTGTGATAGAGTGAGTGAGTGTGTGAGTGTGTGATAGAGTGAGTGATAGTGTGATTCTCACCCATGGACTGAAAGCCGCCGGACTTCTTCTTCTTCTTGTTCTGGGCTCTGACCAGCTCTCTGGTGTCCGGCTCCGCGTCGGACACACACTCGGATGAAGCCGGGAAGCGAGGGAGTCTTCTGTTGGGCTGAACAACAACACAACACAGTCGGCTCCGGTCCACTCACACACACAACCCTCACTTATAAAGCGCTACAGACAGACGGCCTACAGCGAGAGATAAACACTAGGAGTGTGACGGTTCCCTCGTGTCCCGATGCCGAACTATAAATATACTGTTAATTAAAATGCTAAATTTGGTGTTGCAGTGTGTGTGTGTAAATGAATATTCTTGGACTTGGTGCTGAAACCCAAAGCACAGGACAATAGAGACATCAGAACAACAATATTCATGATTCTGAAGCTGAAAATACTGAATTATTGTAGATGAATATGTTTGATCTCTGTCACTGACTGGATATATTTAAAATAATGTCGGACACTTTTTCTGGTAACATCAGATCTGGCATTATCAGGACCCACACATATTCCCCCATTGCATTATTAGACATTATATTCAACATTATAGTAATTTAATGTAGTAATGACACTAAAACTGGATTCTATTTTCACACAGTAATTTTTATTTTGCGTGAACTATCCATGATACATAATGTTGTATTGCGATCTATTGTGATACTCCTAATAAATACAGTTGATAATCATATGCTTTTGTTGAAGCTGCCAGCCCAAATTATGTAATCTTATTTTTAAAACAATCCTGTTAAACAGCTGAATTCCTGGTGGAAAAACTACATTACCCATGATGCTGTGCAGAAAATCCACCAATCAGATGCGATCAAATGACTAATAATCGATTATTCGTTTTTGAATAGGTCATATCAGCAAGCATCAATATCATTTTTACAGCAAGGGTCACATATTTCACTGAGACATCTAAAGCTAAAATAATACACTTTATGTTGGGACTTAAATATGAGTTCGGAACAGAAACTGGATTGAGTGTAAACGCGTGAAACTACAACCAAAACATTTCTAATGATTAATATGACGGACGCGGTCTTTTAATAACACATGAACCGATGATCAAACAGCAAATATGTGACGGTATCGTGTTAGTTTGGACTCACTGTATCGTCGTCATCTTTGACTCCTGCAGCCACTTCAAACTCTTCATCCTCAGACTCGTGGTCTCTGTGCTTCCTCCTCTTCGTCAGCTTCTTCCTCCTGTGGGCCATTACTGTGTTCACTTCTACAACCCGCGGAGATCTGCGCGCGGGACTCTTGAGGAATCGACCGTTTAATCGAAGAGATCAGGGGCTCCGTGAGATCAAAACACCGGAGACACGGGAACACGTGTGCGTCAGGACGGCGCGGAGAGATGACGCACGCAGAGAGCGCGGCGCGGAGACATGACGCACGCAGAGAGCGCGGCGCTGCAGTTCACGGAGTCGCCACACGATGGCAGCGCTAACTGCGCGTACCCGCGGTCATTCGGGACTGTTTTACGTTTAGCGAATTATTTTCGAATTATTTATATCATCACGTCAAAACACCCGGAAGAGTGGTTTACATGGTTATACAAATAAAACTTAAAAAATAACCAATAGGGATTAGAGAATGTTCTGTAGCCTATAGGTCATGTTTAGGTTGTAAAAATAAACACTAGTTTTAAAAAAGAAAGTTCCGAAACATTTGGTTCCCAAAAAATAACCAAATGTGACCCATGAGGCAAGGTTGGGTAAATGTGCAGTGTTTGGGTAATAAGTTTAGGGATTTATGCTGAGGGTTTATGCTTTCATTTATTATCAAAACCATATGATTGAACACGAAAATGCCTACTTGTAAAACAGTAAAGTTTTTTAAAGTTCTTTGCAAAAGAAAACCAAAGGCCATAATAGGGATATAGTGGCTTTCTGCGGTGGATCAAAAAATATGATATTTTGACATTTTTGAGTTTGATGGTTTTTTTCATTCAGTGGTATTCAAACTTCTTTCTTTCTGCCTCGAAAAAAATGGGGGGAAAAGAACGATGTACATTGTGACTTTTTATCTGACAATTCTGGGAAAAAAGTGTAAACTATGAGAATTGTGAGATAAAGACTCCCAATTATTTTTGTTTTCTTCGGTGGCAGAAACAAGCTTCCATAATGTTGTTTGTGTTCCTCAAAAGAAACTCATGAGAGCGAGTAATGAAGACAGAAAGATCATATTTAGGTGAACAATCACTTTATTCCGAAGAGAAACATGTGAGAGAAACCTGTTTATTTAGATGTGTTCTCGTGTATTAATCAGCAATCAGCTCTGTCTGAAACTGACTAATGAATATGTTCTAAGAACGTGTTTCCTTGTATGAACATCAAGAGAACATCCGGTTACACTTTATTTTAAGGTGTCATTACAGTGTAATTATATATTTAAGTACTTATTAAGTAACTGCATGTACTTACTCTAGGGTTAGGGCAGGATTAGGGTCTGGTTGAGGGTTGCATGTAATTATGCATAATTTACTGTTATTACTAGGTAAGTACATGTAACACATGTAACAAGGACACTGTACAATAAAGTGTTACTGAACATTCCATTGTGTCATTCTTCAATCATCATGGAACGTTACTTTTGAATGTTCGAACGTTCTGAAACTTAAAACCGTTAGACGAACATCAATGTTTCAGAAATAAACATTCAATGAATGATGTATAAATAATGTTTTTGTTCTAACGTTTTGAGAACATTATTAAAATCAGAAAACTTTGAGTTAACGTCACTGGAGGACCGTTTATAATTCTGGGAGAATCTTGCCAGAACGTTCCCTGTTTCTCAGCGGGCTGATAAGATGCAGGAGTGATGAGCCAGAACCCATCAGTATCATCAGAACCGTGGAGGTGTACCGCTCAGATCTCTGGATATGATTAAACCCTGCAGATGAAGCTCGGCTCAGGTCAGGAACACATCAGGAGAGTATTCTGTTCTCCACGTTCCTGACCTGAGGATGGAGGAACACATCAGGAGAGTGTTCTGTTCTCCGCGTTCCTGACCTGAGGATGGAGGAACACATCAGGAGAGTGTTCTGTTCTCCACGTTCCTGACCTGAGGATGGAGGAACACATCAGGAGAGTGTTCTGTTCTCCGCGTTCCTGACCTGAGGATGGAGGAACACATCAGGAGAGTGTTCTGTTCTCCACGTTCCTGACCTGAGGATGGAGGAACACATCAGGAGAGTGTTCTGTTCTCCGCGTTCCTGACCTGAGGATGGAGGAACACATCAGGAGAGTGTTCTGTTCTCCGCGTTCCTGACCTGAGGATGGAGGAACACATCAGGAGAGTGTTCTGTTCTCCACGTTCCTGACCTGAGGATGGAGGAACACATCAGGAGAGTGTTCTGTTCTCCACTTTCCTGACCTGAGGATGGAGGAACACATCAGGAGAGTGTTCTGTTCTCCGCGTTCCTGACCTGAGGATGGAGGAACACATCAGGAGAGTGTTCTGTTCTCCACGTTCCTGACCTGAGGATGGAGGAACACATCAGGAGAGTGTTCTGTTCTCCACGTTCCTGACCTGAGGATGGAGGAACACATCAGGAGAGTGTTCTGTTCTCCACGTTCCTGACCTGAGGATGGAGGAACACATCAGGAGAGTGTTCTGTTCTCCACGTTCCTGACCTGAGGATGGAGGAACACATCAGGAGAGTGTTCTGTTCTCCGCGTTCCTGACCTGAGGATGGAGGAACACATCAGGAGAGTGTTCTGTTCTCCGCGTTCCTGACCTGAGGATGGAGGAACACATCAGGAGAGTGTTCTGTTCTCCACGTTCCTGACCTGAGGATGGAGGAACACATCAGGAGAGTGTTCTGTTCTCCACGTTCCTGACCTGAGGATGGAGGAACACATCAGGAGAGTGTTCTGTTCTCCACGTTCCTGACCTGAGGATGGAGGAACACATCAGGAGAGTGTTCTGTTCTCCACGTTCCTGACCTGAGGATGGAGGAACACATCAGGAGAGTGTTCTGTTCTCCACGTTCCTGACCTGAGGATGGAGGAACACATCAGGAGAGTGTTCTGTTCTCCACGTTCCTGACCTGAGGATGGAGGAACACATCAGGAGAGTGTTCTGTTCTCCGCGTTCCTGACCTGAGGATGGAGGAACACATCAGGAGAGTGTTCTGTTCTCCGCGTTCCTGACCTGAGGATGGAGGAACACATCAGGAGAGTGTTCTGTTCTCCACGTTCCTGACCTGAGGATGGAGGAACACATCAGGAGAGTGTTCTGTTCTCCACGTTCCTGACCTGAGGATGGAGGAACACATCAGGAGAGTGTTCTGTTCTCCACGTTCCTGACCTGAGGATGGAGGAACACATCAGGAGAGTGTTCTGTTCTCCACGTTCCTGACCTGAGGATGGAGGAACACATCAGGAGAGTGTTCTGTTCTCCACGTTCCTGACCTGAGGATGGAGGAACACATCAGGAGAGTGTTCTGTTCTCCACGTTCCTGACCTGAGGATGGAGGAACACATCAGGAGAGTGTTCTGTTCTCCACGTTCCTGACCTGAGGATGGAGGAACACATCAGGAGAGTGTTCTGTTCTCCGCGTTCCTGACCTGAGGATGGAGGAACACATCAGGAGAGTGTTCTGTTCTCCACGTTCCTGACCTGAGGATGGAGGAACACATCAGGAGAGTGTTCTGTTCTCCGCGTTCCTGACCTGAGGATGGAGGAACACATCAGGAGAGTGTTCTGTTCTCCGCGTTCCTGACCTGAGGATGGAGGAACACATCAGGAGAGTGTTCTGTTCTCCGCGTTCCTGACCTGAGGATGGAGGAACACATCAGGAGAGTGTTCTGTTCTCCACGTTCCTGACCTGAGGATGGAGGAACACATCAGGAGAGTGTTCTGTTCTCCACGTTCCTGACCTGAGGATGGAGGAACACATCAGGAGAGTGTTCTGTTCTCCACGTTCCTGACCTGAGGATGGAGGAACACATCAGGAGAGTGTTCTGTTCTCCACGTTCCTGAACTGAGGATGGAGGAACACATCAGGAGAGTGTTCTGTTCTCCACGTTCCTGACCTGAGGATGGAGGAACACATCAGGAGAGTGTTCTGTTCTCCGCGTTCCTGACCTGAGGATGGAGGAACACATCAGGAGAGTGTTCTGTTCTCCACGTTCCTGACCTGAGGATGGAGGAACACATCAGGAGGGTGTTCTTTTCTCCACGTTCCTGACCTGAGGATGGAGGAACACATCAGGAGAGTGTTCTGTTCTCCACGTTCCTGACCTGAGGATGGAGGAACACATCAGGAGAGTGTTCTGTTCTCCACGTTCCTGACCTGAGGATGGAGGAACACATCAGGAGAGTGTTCTGTTCTCCACGTTCCTGACCTGAGGATGGAGGAACACATCAGGAGAGTGTTCTGTTCTCCACGTTCCTGACCTGAGGATGGAGGAACACATCAGGAGAGTGTTCTGTTCTCCACGTTCCTGACCTGAGGATGGAGGAACACATCAGGAGAGTGTTCTGTTCTCCACGTTCCTGACCTGAGGATGGAGGAACACATCAGGAGAGTGTTCTGTTCTCCACGTTCCTGACCTGAGGATGGAGGAACACATCAGGAGAGTGTTCTGTTCTCCACGTTCCTGACCTGAGGATGGAGGAACACATCAGGAGAGTGTTCTGTTCTCCACGTTCCTGACCTGAGGATGGAGGAACACATCAGGAGAGTGTTCTGTTCTCCACGTTCCTGACCTGAGGATGGAGGAACACATCAGGAGAGTGTTCTGTTCTCCACGTTCCTGACCTGAGGATGGAGGAACACATCAGGAGAGTGTTCTGTTCTCCACGTTCCTGACCTGAGGATGGAGGAACACATCAGGAGAGTGTTCTGTTCTCCACGTTCCTGACCTGAGGATGGAGGAACACATCAGGAGAGTGTTCTGTTCTCCACGTTCCTGACCTGAGGATGGAGGAACACATCAGGAGAGTGTTCTGTTCTCCGCGTTCCTGACCTGAGGATGGAGGAACACATCAGGAGAGTGTTCTGTTCTCCGCGTTCCTGACCTGAGGATGGAGGAACACATCAGGAGAGTGTTCTGTTCTCCGCGTTCCTGACCTGAGGATGGAGGAACACATCAGGAGAGTGTTCTGTTCTCCACGTTCCTGACCTGAGGATGGAGGAACACATCAGGAGAGTGTTCTGTTCTCCACGTTCCTGACCTGAGGATGGAGGAACACATCAGGAGAGTGTTCTGTTCTCCACGTTCCTGACCTGAGGATGGAGGAACACATCAGGAGAGTGTTCTGTTCTCCACGTTCCTGACCTGAGGATGGAGGAACACATCAGGAGAGTGTTCTGTTCTCCACGTTCCTGACCTGAGGATGGAGGA